AGCAGGAGCTGGGGGAAAAGGCTGGGGAGGAAGAGGGGAAGGAGAAAGGAAGCATGTTCCAGGCTCTGCCCACATGCCACACACCCATCCCAGCAGACTCCTGGCATGCCTGCCATCTCTGCTTCATTCAATCCTTCAGAATATCACTGATTTTGGAAATGGAAATTAAGGAATTAGTTATGCCTTTTATGGTAACACCTGCAGACCTCAAACAAGCTCAGGGTTCTCTTCGCAAGGTGCGGCACAATTCAACAAAAACGCGTTGTGCTAAACTGCGGCAGGTAAACCCCAATGAACAATGATTTTCCACCCCTGTGCCCTCCTGTCCCCCTTGTTCACCCAGCTGAAGGAGCAATGCTGCGATTACCTTTCGGTATTTCTCTGACACACCCCGGTTCTTGAGATCCGCCATCAGCCCCGGCAGGCTGTTGCTGCTGTGCCGCTCGTAGTGCAGGGCGTAAAGCATCACCAGCCGCGCAGCGTCAAACTCCGTCACCTTGGGGTTCTGCAGGAGGCGACGCACGTTCTGCAGCAAGACAGGGAGAGCACTGTTAGCGGAGGGGCTTTCAAAGGACGTGAAAACAGACTAATATCAAGCCCACTACCTAGTAACAAAATTGCACGCGGGAGGAACGCAAGAAAACTAAATTGTGTCACAAGCAACAGAGCCCAGCTTCTTACGTGCTCTACGGTTTGATTTATGAGTGTACAAAGGAGCGCAAGTTGCTTTTGGGTCTTTTCATGAAGCTGGGAGTTCACAACCCAGTTCTGCTGTCCATTCGTAACTCTCCCTAACATGCTGGGGATGAGCTCAGGTCACCGTGTGCCTTCTCCAAAGGGGCATCAGCGGCACTGCCAGAAACCTCTGCCCTTCCCTTCGCAGCTTGAGCAGAGCCAGACCCGGCCGACGAGTTCCATCGTCATATTGACTGTCAAGAAAAAGCAGTTAGGACAATTACACAAATTCTATTTTCTTTTGGAAGGCGCAGGACAGAAGCATCAAAGTCTCAGATAACCTTTGGATGCGAGAAGCGGAGGAGCAAGTATCAAGCGCTCGGAAGCAAAGGAGGAAAGGAATTACTGCATGAAAAGAAAGATGAGAGCACGGGAGGTACCTACAGAAATCTACAGTTATTACTTCTAATATGCAGATCATTAGTTTTTCCACTGAAGAGAACGTGAGACCATTGTAAATGAAGGGTGCATGCCCCACAGAGGTGGTGTGTTAAGTACAGACCCTCTGCAGAACGGTTCAGAACCCCGATCACGCCACTTCCCTCCAGGGGCTGCAGGCAGGATGGAACTGCTGGTGCAAACCCACAGCTGGCTGTGTAAGCGCTGCTCCTTCTTTCCTTATTTCCTCCCCGCAGCCTCCCAGTCGTTGTGTCAAGTCAGAGAGTTGAGACAATGAACAGAACAAACACCGGAGCCAAGCTGGTGGCTCAGGTGAGCAGCGGGAACAATAAACTTCTTAACGCCGAGCTTGGAGACGGATCTCAAAGAACAGGCATCAGCGACCAGATGTGTCTGCAGACATCTGGTTAGGGCTGGACAGATGCTTTAGGACACAGCAAAGTCTGAAATTCTGCCTGTGCTGAACACGAAAGCAAACCAGTCAGCCTGTATCAGCTCAAACGCACGGCAGCAGAGGAGCTGCCACGTTTACAGCTGCAGAAATTGCAGCTCCAAGTGAGATGGAACCTGTCAGGATTTTTTCAGCTCCGTAAGCACACATGACCTTCAAATGCTCCACAAATCCCAGCATATCTCTGCAAGACTCTCCCACCTTCCCCATACAGGCAGACAACATGGAGACGTTCAGAGAACAGCCGTGACACAAGGCTGTGACACTGTTGTCACTCAGCACCCCCTTTCAGCTCTATTTGCTGTCATTTGTTTGACTGATGCAGACTAGTTAGAAAAATATACAATAAAATCCTGGCTTGGAGGAGGATCAACAGGAGTTCACCATTACCCTTGGTGAGGTCAGGAATCACCTGTGAGGGCGAGGGACAGAGTCCTACGGAGACGTCTGCTCGCAAGATTTTTGATCCTGTGCCGGCAGCGCAGCGGCAATGCCTATAGAAGCGGGAAGTGTGTAAAACAGAAAAGCTTTTGTCCATCTAAGGAGATGGGATTCAAAACCTCCCATTCATCTCTCAAGGCTCATGTACTATGTCATGATTAATAAGAGAGCAAGGGAAGAATAACCAAAATGTACTGTACTCAGGGGCCCTAGGCCACCAGAGGAATTAACAATTGCTGAAGTTACATCAGTGGGAGAACAACTCTGCCTTTATTTCATCCACTGGCTTATTCTTCATTGTTTCTGCGGCCTTGGCCCTTCACTGCCATTAGGAGACTGCACCAGGGAATGGCCTGGGGCAGTGCAGCTCGAGAGATACTCATCTCTCAGGCAGAAAGACACCAGTTCCCCAGTTCTGAATTTATTTCCTAGCTGCTACATGTTTTCCAGTCGGTCTCAGTCGTTAGAAATACAATAGAGCCCTTTATGCACGCGGCTGTAAGTGAAGTGCAGGCTGCTCTTCTGCTCTCAAAACTGCAGAAATACCTGGTTAGTGCAGGCTAGGACCTGAGCTAGCACCAAGCTGAACTCTAGTAACAACCCTGCCGTGACAGAACGGCACTCGGTGGGCGCTCTGTCCCGGCTCCAGCACTGCCTCGTACTCTCTCAGCCGTAGAGATGATCATGAGACTGCATCATCGTCATCATCAGGACCTCACATCATCCCTTTCTTCAACAAATCTGAGATAACTTAATAAAAAGCAGACCAACATTTTCCAAAACGATCTCCAACGCCAAGCACCGACGTTCCAACGCTATGCTCGGTGCTGTGTTAATTCAGAAATGACAGCTCACAGCACAGACACGGTGGGCTGATGAATTAGAACTCAAATATTTGACTTTTAAACTGCAAAAGCTCAATCTAGAAACAATGATAAAGCAAGAGAACCTCAGAGGCTGTTTTCAGCAAATGCATTTTATGGCTACGTTCCCATTTCAGTACTTAGTCATCTGAACTCTACCCAATCCAAGCTATGGAATCAGATCTGTATGCTCACCCATCTATACAGCTGCAATTACTTCAGCTTCCCATCAGCTCAGGGTCTATCTGTATGCTCACCCATCTATACAGCTGCGATGACTTCAGCTTCCCATCAGCTCAGGGTCCGGTAACAGACTACAGCACTCACAGAGTCTAATATTATCCCCCAGCCACCTACTTGGAGCACGGAACAACAGAGGCAAAGAGGACACGTATTTCAAATCTGTCAAAGATGCTTACTTCCATTTTCTAGTCAAACTGCTTCTCCAGGATGGGGTAAAGGAGTCCGTGATATGGTGGAACTTCTGCCTAAGCTCTAAAAAATTAAGGAATCATTTCTTAATACTGAGTTGCTGGTATGATGCAGTCACGTTCAACAATACCACTATTTTCTCTGAGCAGTCAGCAGCCACAATTCATCACTATCGACGTCCTGTCAGATACTAGGTCAGGGCACGGAACCCAACACGCCAGCGCGGGGTCAAAGCTTCAGTCTACACCCAGCTATAACAGACGCCTCTGTTCAGCTTTTTCACTCTTCTTTGCCAAAGAAATCTTTTATCTAAGAGACTTTCCATTGTTTTTTATTTAAAAAAAAAAAGGTAAAAGCTAGCAGCTCAATGACTAGTCTGGTTAAGCAATTTCAGGGATTCCATTTCTTCTTCCCCCCAACAAACACAACCAGCTTCTGGACGGGGGTCCCAGTTGGTTTTTCACTGGTGGCTGCCCAGGCAGCCTGCCAGAAACCAAGTGACTGCGTACAACGAAGGAATGTTGTATTGTGAAATGTAAAGACAGAATTTGCAAAGATGCTTCTCAAGCCGGTTATTAACGGTGATTCATCCCCATCTGAACTGAACGGGGAGGAGAAGAGTAATTCTAACATCTCATCTCCCAACCCTGCAGGATATTTCCATGCAGAACTCCCTCTGACTTCCAGTATCAAACTTCCATCAACAGGGGAGTTACAGGATCAAACCACCTGGATTCAGACAAAGGATCGCGGTTGGGTTTTGAGCCCGAGGTACCTGGAGAGCACTGGAATGGTCACTCTGGCAGGCCAGCTCCTGCTCCACTTCAGACACCTCCAGCAGGTTCCGCTCCCCGACCAGCCGCGACAGCTCTCCCACGACCGTCACGTGCTTCGATACCGTGCCTGACATCTTCTTGAACTGCGGGTAATTCTCCACGAACGCCTGCCACGGGGGAACCAAAGCAACCAGCTCTTCAAAAGAACAGCAAGAGCCAGTGGATGTCTGCAGCCCAGCAATAAACTGCATCAACTCATCTGCATCAATATAAACAAGACCAGTGCGGGCATATCAGGCACCTCAACCCCAGGAGCCCACGGGATTTCTCCAATGACAAGATTTTTGGTAGGGATATACTTTCTATTTACTCTAGAAAAAAAAAAAAAAAGGATAGAGAAAGTCCTTCCAAAGACACGGGATTTCTCCAATGACAAGATTTTTGGTAGGGATATACTTTCTATTTACTCTAGAAAAAAAAAAGGATAGAGAAAGTCTTTCCAAAGACTTCAGGATTCTTTAAATCTCGAGCAGTGACTGAATTCACAGCCCGTACTCAGAGCTGTGGGCAAGTGACCCAGCTCAGATATAAAGTCCACGCAGCCGTATTCGAGTGAGCTAAGTACTTAAACCAGAGCTTATCGATGCAATTACAGGGCTTCGGGATTCCAGCAAGCTCTAAGCAGCAGCTTAGGGAGCAATCAAAACATGCAAGCTTGCAGGCCACGCCACAGTGGTGCAGACCGGCTAACAAGTCTTGCCTCCAGCGAGGAACCACCGTAGTGAACACAGTGCAAAAAGGAGGTTCCTGCTCCACAGAACCAGCACACCACAGAGGTCTGACATGTTGGTACTGGTAGCGTGGACTGTCAGTGGACAGACAGCGGTGATCTGCACCGTCCTGCAATGGAAGGGCTTTGAACGTATGGATTGTACCTTCATATCCGCTATGGATTCCAGCTTCTGCTGCTCCTTAGGCTTCCTTCTCTGGAAATCCTCCATAAGGTTCTTGATGTTGCTGCCAATTTCTGCAAAGTTCAGGTACATGTTCTGCGCAGAACAAGACGGGGATTCTGAGAGAAAGCCATTCTAATGCAAGGCTTGATGCAGCTGGAACAGGGTGGCACTCTGTGCCCAACACACCAAAGTGCCATCGCACATCGTCTCCCTGAGACCCATGCCTGAGCAAGCAGCTCTGCAGTTTGAAATAAAACTACAAAATGGATGCTTTCTTTCATGTCAGATGCTACTTGCATTATAAATTGATTTTCAGCACTTGCATAAGAGTCCCGACCCTCAAAGTCATCGGAAACTTCCTTTCACGTGGCAAAACAAAGACTGGAACCTGATCCCCAAATTCAGCTGCTCACTGAATCCCCGCTGAGATACCTACGTTGGCGTAGAACTCGTCGTTCTCGGCAGACAGGACCACCTCTCGGAGATCCTTGCTTATCCCCGGTACGCGAGAGAGGTCGATGCGGTTGTTGTTGATCCCCAGCAACTCATGAACCATAGCCTGGTACGTCCACTGCCAAGGAGAGCAAAAGAGAAAGGCAAAGGATGACCCCAGTGAGATACCAAACAGCACTGGGAAATTAACGGATTTCACACTGAACTCCAGCAAAGCCAGTTTATAATTCTCTAGTAACACACAGCGGATCCAAGGTGTGCATCCCTCCAACTTTTGCCAGGATCCAAGGTGTGCATCCCTCTAACTTTTGCCAGAAAGTTACAGTAAGAAATAAATATTACTTCTATTATAGACAGACTGGCGTCCCACGGCGAGAGGTGCTGGTGCAAACAAAAAAGGAGAACAACCCTGTTCCAGGGTGCTTACTGTAGGTACGTTCAAAAGACACAACTCTCTCTAAAAGAAGAGCAAGGGGGATTAATATTCCTGTTCAAACAGTTCTGTTTGCCACCATTATCTCCCTCTCCTCCACTGAGAAGACACATGGATTTTTGGCTGCAGAGGTTCCACAGTTACGATTTCCCACATTTTTCTTCCGCAGCAGTAGCGTGCTTCTGCACAGCAGTGCGTTACTGTGTTTATTCTAGGAAGACTAATATTTATCCAGAGAGAAAACTGAAAGCTGATCAGAGCACCGACGTGCCCAACACTCCATTTACACTCATCTGAATCTCTCTCCTGGATAGAAAATCTCTGCATAGCAGATAACGCTGTTGGTGCCCTGTGCTGAGTGCGGTCCTTAACTCCACAAACCACGTGTGAGCGGAGTTTCTGGCCGTCAGGTTACTCCATCTATCATCACGAGCTCCTACAGCACCAGTGTTACAGAATCTACATTGAGATGAGGTCTTGGCAAGAAATTCTTTACTGCATTGGGGGGTGAGGCAGTGGCAGGTTGCCCAGAGAAGCTGTGGGTGCCCCATCCCTGGAGGGGTTCAAGGCCAGGCTGGATGAGGCTTTGGGCAACCTGGGCTAGTGGGAGGTGGCCCTGCCCGTGGCAGAGGGGTTGGAACTCAATGATTTTTACAGTCCCTTCCAACCCAAACCCTTCTGTGATTCTCTGGCTGCAGCCCAGCTGCAGCTCCAGGCCGTTGCCCGACCACCAGGCTGATTTGTGTCTAAGCATACTGCACAGAAATGAAACAAACAGACTTTTTGATACCAGAATCTGCAGCACAACAAAGAAATTAAAAAAAAAATATATCACAATAGCTACATAGTAAATACCCATCAATAACACAGAGGGAGAAACACACCCGTGCAGGGTCACTCAATAACTGCGTACGTGTTCTGCCAAACAGCCTGCATAAATAAACCTTTGGGAAGCACCCTGCCAAGACACGAGGACTCCAAATGTAAAGTCTGTCTTACAGAAGGACAAGTGGCTTGGTTTTCAGGGTGCTGGCTACATCTGCCACTGAAGCCCATGCTCAATCCCTGCTCAACAGCCTGAAAAAACAGGCCACGAGATGAAAAAGGGATTTCAAAAAGGATGGGGGCAGAGGCAATACTTTTTACCTTTTAAATATAAACCATGACCTGCCAGGGTGTGAACCCTGCTGCTACCGCCACAGGGCTCTTTGCGCTTGCAGAACTCGCATTCCTACCTCAGCCCTTGCGCAACTGCGAGATGATTCACCTGGTTCAGAAGTGGGGTGATGGCATCGTCAGACCGGTCCAGAATGAGGAGTAAAGGAGGAACCTCTGTGCGCCGAAAGTCAAACAGCTCATACTCTTTAGTGATTACTTGCTGTTGAGAAAAGGAAAAAAAAAAAAGCTACTTCATCTGATGTCATCCTGGAAAATGTTTCCTCTTGGCTTGGTGAACAAAAAGCAAAGAGCTGAAGCAACAAGTTGTGCTGCTATCTTTGACTACCCTGCTAATGAAGAAATAATACCTGCTCTCAAAAGATTCATACTCCAATTTATGACACTCAGGGGAAATACGGTTCAAGTAAACGACAGAATTTACACGAATCAACTGAAAAAGGGTCTTTCTTTCAGATGGATCAATATGTAAAAAATTTAAACAAAATGTCAGCACATTGTGAAACTGATTGAACATCCCTGTGGGTTCTCGCCATACCTTCACACATTCAGCAAGCCTCTTTGCTGGCTCAGAGGAGAGCTGGTACCGAATCATGGGGCATTTCTTCAGAGACAAAAGCAGAGCAGTCAGCCCCTGAGTTGTCCTGGACAGCTGAGCCGGATCCCAGCTGCGACCCTAGAAGGAAAGGCTGCATCAAGGACGGATGCACCATCCCCAAGCTCCTTCTCACATCAAGTCTCATTTTAAGTCTTAAAGTCTTAGAGTAAACCATCGTTTGATTGAAGGAGCAGGTACACCAGAGGCCACAATCCGGATTCCCCAATTCCCTCCCCTTGCCAATTCCTTGTAAGGATCAGCTCCTGCCTTACAGGCCCTCAGCAGCAGCCCACCACTGCCCCCAGCTTGCTGTGGCCGCTGGTCTCTCTACCAACCACAACACAAAGCCCCGGAGGAGCATCAGCGTTTTACATACCTGGCAGCAGCCCAAGAGGTTGAGAGAAAAAACGTGTGGATTCACCGCAATGTAATCGCCATAGAACTCCTGCCAACAAGCGAAAGCAAATACAGTTACATGTCTTGCCAACCCTTCCTCTGCCTACAAGAGCGCGTGTTCCAGCATCCGCCACACTAACACTAAAATCCTGAGCCATGCGCTGATGCATTGACTCTGATCATTTCTCCTTCCTCCGGGCGTAACCCCTCAGATCCCTGCACTTGTCCTGACAACTCCACTGTCGACTTGTCGTGTGTGTTTTCTGAGCTCTTTGTCAACACCACAAACGCAGCAGCCTTCTGAAACACAGATGACAAGAGGACCAGCAGCAGCTCTCACAACTGGAGGGCCGGCAGAAACAGGGGACACAGGAGCTTTTCTTTCTTTTACTTTTTTAATCCTGTGTGCGCGTTCATCTTTTCTTCCATCCTAGCCTGTCGCACAGTGCTGCTTTACCCCACACCCGAGTTTGTTAGCTTGTATGTTTGTTTTGCAGGTGCTTTTTTGGATGAGGAGATCTATTTCAAATATTCAAAATTCACCTGAACTTCTGCCACAACCTCCTGTTCATCAGCTTCAGCCAATGACTTGACATCACTCTTACTGATCACGTTACTGAAATCTGAAAGAAAAAAAAAAAACAGCGAAAGAACAGTCAGGCTCTGCAAGTGACAGTAGCACCACAGAACAGATTTTCCTCTGGAGCCAGAGCAGATTGCAACAGAGATCCCTTGACCTTACACCTGCGAGGATGAGATGACGTTAAGATCCAGAAGTTACCTCCCAGGGTACTCTGAGCTCATTCCATGTCCAACTTTCTGCCTCTGGTGCCGATATCCAGCACGTGACGGCAGCACCGATCAGCACAGAACGGTCACAGAGGACGGATTAAACGCCCCGTGGGACGCGGCAGTGCTGGAAGGGCAGTACCAGCCCTCTCTCATCCTCTCCCTGGCCCAACATCTGCCCAACTGAGCAACACCACGTGCAGCCCAGCTGCAGTCAGCAGCTCTATCTGATAAAAGCCAAGTGATGGTAAATGGCCGCACGCACGGACACCCACATCTCTGCTGGAGCTCCTGGGCACTGCTCTGCCAGCAGGTCACCGCCACCCTTTCCAAGAGTCCGAGAGGGTCTCGCAGCCTGGAGCCTGGCTCCTTGGTGCTGCCGTCCTGCAGAGCCGCAATGACATCTAGAGGCCACTCCTGCTCATTTCCCAGAACCTCACCGAGGGAGAGCTGTGCTGGAGGACTAGACTTCAACACAAAACCAGCTACAGTTGCTCTGCTCCGTTTCCAAAACTACAGGATATCCTGTGGCACAAGCAGGACATGTGAGAAACACCTGCCCACCACGCCTGGCATTCGAAGACGCAGGTTTAGTCCAACACTGGGATGTGAAGTCAATCCTAATCCTGTCTCTGAATTATTTACCTTCAAGATTTGGGCCAGCCTCCCTCATCCAGTGCCTCTCAGCTTTCCTTATAATAAAGGCACTCTAGCATCAGCCTTCTTTCATGTTTATGAAGCAACACGAAGCTTTAAAATCACAGAAATTTTCAGGGCTAAGCTATAGCAGAGGAGTGGAGATTTCTGGTGTTGCGGCAAGTCTGACTGACCGGACAGAACGTGACACACTTACAAATAAAATAGATGCTGTACTTTGGCCTCCGCAGCTCCTGGATGAGTAACTCCACATTCTCCTGGATGAAAACGGCAGCAGGGAGAGCAGATTTTTAAAATGTCGCATAAAAAGGGACTGGAGGGACCCGTGCGCCCTCGGCATCCCCATCGTGGTCCCTCGTCATGACCTAGAGCGTGTGCATGACCGTCCCCTCCTGCAGGCTGGTGGCAGGTGTGTGGGAAAGGGCAAGGTGACCCCCGGGAAGGGCAGGGTGACCCCCAGGGAAGGACAGGGTGACCCCCAGGAAGGCCAGGTGACTCGTGGGATGGGCTGGGTGACCCATAGGAAGGGCAGGTGACCCCCAGGAAAGGCAGGGTCACCCCTGAGATGGGCAGGGTGACATCTGAGAAGGGCAGGTGACCCCCAGAAAGGGCTGGGTGACCCCGAGAAGGGCAGGTGACCCTGGGATGGGATGGGTGTCCCCTGAGAAGGGTAGGTGATCTCCGGGAAGGACAGGGTGACCTCTGAGAAGGGCAGGTGACCCCCAGAAAGGGCTGGGTGACCCCGATGAAGGGCTGGGTGACCCCTGAGAAAGGTAGGTGACCCCCGGGACGGGCTGGGTGTCCCCTGAGAAGGGCTGGGTGACCCCAGGATGGGCTGGGTGACCCCGAGAAGGGCTGGGTATCCTCTGAGAAGGGCAGGTGACCCCTCGGATGGGCTGAGTGACACCGGAAAGGGCTGGGTGTCCCCTGAGAAGGGCTGGGTGACCCCAGGATGGGCTGGGTGACCCCGAGAAGGGCTGGGTATCCTCTGAGAAGGGCAGGTGACCCCTCGGATGGGCTGAGTGACACCGGAAAGGGCTGGGTGTCCCCTGAGAAGGGCTGGGTGACCCCAGGATGGGCTGGGTGACCCCGAGAAGGGCTGGGTATCCTCTGAGAAGGGCAGGTGACCCCTCGGATGGGCTGAGTGACACCGGAAAGGGCTGGGTGTCCCCTGAGAAGGGCAGGTGACCTCCAAGATGGGCTGGGTGACCCTGGAAAGGACTGGCTGGCCCCCAAGAAGGGCAAGAGAGCCCCGGGATGGGCGGGG